ACCTGGGCAGTTCCCACCTCATGTCCTGGAGCCCATCTTTTCCAAGCTCTCACACAGGCCCTCTCACTCAGGAGTGCAGCCCCTAGTTTCATCCTGAGTTCCAAGCCACTCCCTTCTCTCTGGCTCAAAACTTGGCCACGGCTATTTAACATATCTATGAAACCAGTTAAAGGTTATACATATGTTAAATAACCATTCCAGAAGTTAGCTGCAAAACTGTTGCTATGCAAAATGGCTCTTAATGGCCTGGCTCCATTTGTTTCTTCCCCCTGGGGGGACGGGGGAGGACATCTTATATGTCTCTCCAATATTCCTATACACTTTGAATTCTGGACACCATTCCAAATCTTTTTTTGGGGGAGGGGGGCGGCTGCACCCTGTATCACAATCTTCTGGGGAACTGAAATTTTTTTCATTACTAGAATTTTGTGAAGACCTAAATAAATGGAAATCTGAAGGTGCAATGTCTGGTGAATAGGACAGATGAATCAGCACTTCCCAGCCAAATTATAAAGTTCTTGCCTGGTCATCAAAGAAATGTGTGGTCTTGCATTATCTTGATGGAAGATTTTGTGTTCTCTGTTGAGTAATTCTGGATGCTTTTTGTTAACTGCTGCTTTCAGTTGGTCTAACTTGGAGCAGTAGTTGTTGGAATTAATTGTTTGGTTTTCTGGAAGGAGCCAACAATAGAGAATTCCCTTCCACTCTCACCATATACATAACAACACCTTCTTTGGAAAAAGACTGGCCTTTGATGTGGTGGGTGGTTCTTTTTGTTTGCCCCATAGTCCCTGCTATTATGCATTATTGTAAAGTATCCACATTTTACTATCCATCACAATTTGTTTCAAAAATGGAATGTTTTCATTATGTTTAACCAGAGAATAACATGCAGAACTATGGTCAAGAAGGCTTTTCTCCCTTAACTTATGTGGAATCCAAACACCAAAGCAATTAACACAACCAAGCTGGTGCAAATGATTTTAAATGCTTGATTTGGATATTTTGAGTATGTCATTTATCTCCCATGTGGTATAATGATAATTGTTCTCCATTAATGTTTTTATTTGGTTGCTATCAACTTCAAGTGGTCTATCCTACCATAGACATTGAGAAATACCCAGCATGAAACTTCACGAACTGCCTTTGACACATTCGATCAGTCACAGCACCTTCTCCATACACTGCCCAATTTTTTGTGTGTTTCAGTTGCATTTTTACCTTTCTTGAAATAACAATGCATGATATGCCAAAAATGTTGCTTATTTTCTTCCATCTTCAATATTAAAAGGGCTGTATAAGAATTCACCAATTTTGATGTTTTTTTTTTAATGCATGCTGATATGGCAGCTGTCACAATACAATCTAACATAATTGTTTCAAATGAAGTTAAAGACAACTAAGCACTACTGGAGCCATCTCAAGGAAAAAAAAACAAACCTTTGGGCAAACCCATATACTTTGTGAAAATTCTCCTTTTGAATACAAAATGAGCCGAAATTAAGACTAAAGATATCTGTTATTACACTTTATGAAAATACTCTAAATATTCCAGCAGTTATTTGCAAATATTTTATTAATATACAAGAATTATTACACTCCTAAAATAAACCAAATGCAGTTATAGTACCAGTGAGTTGCTTGCTCAATTGCAGAAACCACATGAAACAGTCTAGGGAAAAGTGTTTGCATGGCTATGGTAGAATTAATTGATTAAGGAGTTGAACTCATTGTTTATATTTGCATCTATTACTGTTGCAGCTTTAAAGAGTAAACAAATACATGTTTAAGTCTACAATTGCTTAAGTTTAACCATTTTCTATGATTGTGAATGTACCGATGTGATGTTAGAGAAGAAAAATTATTACACTTTATCATATGTATAGTTCATATATATAAACAACATAATATAAAGCATGTATATTACATAATTATGTTTGCTAATAAAACCACCAACAGTTTAAAGATCTTTGGCTACATTATTCCAAGCTGTTCAGAAAATTAAATAGTATATTTATATTATAATATTCTCATTTGATCTACTTTCTCTTTGCTTTCTTTTTTCAGGAAGATCCACAACATTATCTGAGTAAATGGAGAAAGCTGAAATGTAGCTCATTTGAACCTATTAGGATTTTGAATTATTTATTTTTTTATTTATTTTTACAATAACATAGTATTGCAAAAGTTTCCCCTAAGGAGCATGGGGGTTTCAACCACATGTCAGGACCCCCAAACCAGGGAACCAGGGCCATGAAGAGAGGTCTGCATAGTATCAGGCAGTGACAATCACCAGGGACTCTACTCTGTCTGCTGGAAGGACAAGGGAGTCTGTTAGCATCCCAGGTGTTCTCCTAAAGGGCCAACACAAAGCAGCTCACTCTTTGACACTCGCCATGGGCTTTGGTAGTCTTAAGCCAAATCAGGGCATACACAAGCCTCAAAGAGAATATCTGGGTGGTGAGGCTCCAGGAGGAGATCCAGAGTATCTACCACTGAGATCCAAGTCCTAAGTCAACATCATGCATCGCCCTCAGGAGCCATTCTCCAGGGTCAGGCACTCCTATTCTTATAGCACAAACTGGGATAGGGGGTGAGCATTAACATGATCATTGAAATACTAGCAATACCATCCTGCCACACTGGAGTCAAGCAGGAATGACTGTCAGCTGCTCCCACATTAACATGAGGCCTGTTCTTTTCCTGCAGAAATGATAGGTGAACTCTCAGAAGGCCAATGAATCTTTTCCCCTGCCCAAAGGTTAAGCAGGTGCCCTCAACAGAAGATGCCCTTTTGATGGTCTCTGGCAGCATCGCTGTGGAACTAAGGGAAAAGAAGCAGATAAACCCCTTCCCATGGGCCTGTGCCAGCCCCTATCAAGAATTGTCTTGATCTACACCTCCCAATCCCATGGGTCAGAGTTGAGCAGGGTGAAAGAGGGCACAGTTCAGAGCTGGGAGATGTGGCACAACACCCTCAAAACCTCTCATAAGGGTCTTTGGCAGTTTAGCTACAGAGGTAGAGAGAGTCTCCCTGGCCCCATTCAACTGGGTTCAATTCCTTGAAGAGAAGGGTTCGGGGGACACAGCTTGGAGCCAGGAACTTCAAAGTGTAGCTCCCTTGGGGTCTCTGCAAGCACTGTTGCAGAACTAGTGCAAGGCATGCAGTTTTTGCCCCTCCTGTGTGCCAGTTCCACCCACAGTGGAAGACTAAATAGATCTGTTTTTATAAATACCTCCTGCCCCCTCCTGCTGGGCTCAGTTCCATGCAGGGCAGGCAGATCATGTCAGAGCTGGGACGTTCAGAGTGAATCACCCTCAGAGGCTTCTGTCTGGGGTTTCAGCAGTCATGTCCAAGGGTGGGGTGCAACTGGCAGCCTCCTGTGGCTTAGCCAGTGCCACACACACATACACACATGTGTACAAATACATGAAACAAAAGAATTCAAACTCATCAATTGTGTTCTCCAAAGGAACTAAGGGATTAGATCTGTTAAAAACAGCCACATATAAAAAAAATGGAAGTGTCTCAATAAATTAAAAACAATAATCACTTGGCTTGGATGCACATCCCCCAAAAATGGCAAAAGAATCCAGATGTTTCCACACCCAAATTTATAGCAACACTATTTACAAGAACCAAAAGGTGAAAACAACACAAGGGTGCACTGATGGATAAATCAATAACCAAAATATGCTATTTATGCAAACAGGAGTGCTGTGTGTTATGCACCCTTGAGTCAGCTGTGACTCCTGATGACCTTATGAAGGAGAGATGTCCACCAAATCCTCACCTTAGCAGTCCTCGCAGCTCCTGTAGCCTCATGCCTATGGCTTTGTTTATGGAATCATCCATCTCACATTTGATCTTCCTCTTTCCTGCCGCCTTCTGTTTTCCCAGCATTATTGCCTTTCCACTTCTGGAGAAGAACCCTGGCTTCTCATGATGTGCCCAAACATGGAAGTCTTTTTTTTGTGATTTTTGCCTCCAGAGATAATTCAAGATGAATTTGCTCTAAGGCCCATTTGTTCATCTTTCTGGTGATTCAGAGATACCTGTAGAGGAATATTACTAACTCTTAAAGTTGGAGGAGATTCTAACAAATGCTGGAACATATCTGAATCTTAAGGACATTTTTCTGAGGGAAATAGGCCACTCACAGAAGACAAATACTGTATTCCGCTTATACGAGGTATCCAGACTACTCAAACTCACAGAAACAGAAAGCAGAATGACATTTGTGAGGAATGGGTAAAATGGGAAGAAAATGGAGAATTACAGTATAAGAAAGACATTTCCAGAAAGCCTTATGCTGAGTGAAATAAGCCACGCATTGAAAGACAAATACCATATGATTTCACCTTTAACAGGAACATAAACAACAAAACAAACAAGCAAGTAAAATATAACCATAGACACTGAAATAAAGAACAGGCTGCCCTGGCTGGTGTAGCTCAGTGGATTGAGCGCCGGCCTCGCGGTTCGATTCCCAGTCAGGGCACATGCCTGGGTTGCAGGCCAGTTCCCAGCAGGGGACACATGAGAGAAAACTATACATTGATATTTCTTTCACACTCTTTCTCCTTCCCTTTCCCTCTCTCAAAAAATAACTTAATTAATTTTTAAAAAAAGAACAGGCTGACAGGGACCAGAGGGGAGAGGGGAAGGAACTTCAGGGGAAAAGGGGAAGGGTTTACAGGAACAAGTATAAAGGACACATGGACAAAAACTAAGGGGAGTGGAAATGGGAGGGAGGTGGGGAGCACTGGGTGGGGGAGCTAGGATGGGAGTAAAAGACAGAAAACTGTACTTGAACAACAATTAAATAAATAAATTTAAAAATAAATAAAATCTTTAATTAAAGATTTTAAAAAAGAGACAGTTCTCATATGCAAGATGAAAAAGTTCCAAAGAAGGGTTGAATAACAACAAGAATACAAATGTTACTCCACTGTACACACAGAAATAAAAAGGTACAATGGTCACTTCATATTACCTGTATTTATGACAATCTTTAAAATCAAGCACTACTCTAGTAACTCCTTACAATCACTAATTTTCTCTCTTTCATTTTTTGTAGCAGTGCGTTCACTGGTGTTCACTCTGCTGTTGCTCTTTTCTGATGGGAATCTTCCTTTCTTCACAGGAAATGGAACAGTTTGTCCAGAGCTCTGGAGAAGATGGTATTGTGGTGTTTAGCCTGGGGTCGATGGTCTCTACTTTGACTCGAAGAAAAGGCCAATATGATTGCCTCAGCCCTGGCCCAGATTCCTCAAAAGGTTAGACAAAGTACCTTAGAGTAGAAAAACAGTGACTGTGTTAAACTCTCTAAAGTGTCTGCTTGCAGAAATTCCTGTGTGAAAGGAAAACTCTTATGACAGCTCCACCTTATCTCAGACAGTAGTTTACAAACAAAGTGCCCATGGCAGGAGCTAAAGTGATGCAGACAGTGTTCTGTTTGGCAGTAACATGGGCATTAACATGGTGACCACAGAGAAGTGTATGTCAGAGGTACAGTGTGAGGTCTGGTACTATAACAGCGCTGTAGGCAGGTCCAGATATCACCAAATTCTGCCCTGTTGGTTGCTCCTTTCTCTTTCAGAAACCCTAGGAAACTGTGTACACTACAGATGTCCTCAGAAAGCAGTTGCATTTTAACAGTATCATAAACTAGGGATGATAACAGCCTGAAAGGCATCATGCAGGTTAGGCTTGCCAAGTATACAGGTCTCCCTTCCTTTCTCTGAATTTTGTAACCGACCTATTCAATGTGTTCTTCAAGGTGATATTCCGAGAAAGGATGTCCAGGGCTCAGCAAGGTTCTGAAGCCAGCCTCAGTGATTTAGAGCAAGAGAAAAAGAGGCCTATAAAGAAACAAGAGAGAAACCTCCGAGGCAGGGTGGGCCATGAAAAATTCTAAATCGGGAGACATAATAGGTAGGGTGGATGTTGGTCCACCCTCAAGGTGGTCCTGTGTTTTGTAAACTGTGGCCCAGAGACAACCCATTAGAAGAATAACCTCTCCTGACTGAAGAACAAAGGAATATAGTTGCTAAAAAAAAGTCAACCAAAAGCAAGCCTAGTTTGGGACACTTTCAAATGCCTTCTCCATTAAATATGTTGTAAATTATCTAATACAAAAAACACACTTGAACCCTCAGGGTATTTGTGAAGTACTTTTAGATTTCTAACTTATAGGGATTTCTCCCTGTCACTTATGCTGATTTCCTAGAAAACTGAGGTTACTTAACACTCACATAACAAATAAATAGAGGTTAACTACTTATAAACTAGAGTCTGCCTTATGAGACTTTCTTAGAAACTTCAAGTTTTAAACCAAATTTAGGTACTGAACTTAGAAGCTGCTTGGCCATTTGTGATTAATTAACCATATTAGTCGATGCTCTCTGTGCAACGCAGCACACTGTGAGGTGGAAACCATCAGTTGAATAAAATTTAAACTTATAATTCTATTTGATCTTTTCAGTAGCTATACTATTATTTATGATTTTCCAATGGGCTTTCAAAAGGTCTTCTTCATTTTAAGAGAATTTCCAATCCTAGCTAGACTGATAACACAAAATTCATGTAAAAATGATCACCTGAAATTTTTCGTAGAGGAAATAGTGATTCCTAATTAGTCATCTTAAAGAAGCTAAATTTACCCCTAAAGCAGAAATTATTTATTACTAATAATAAATTGTTAAACATCAGAATGACAATTTTCACAAATAACTGTAGCATTTATTTAGTAATTGAAGTTATGTAAAAGTGAAATAAAATACAATATGGAACTAGTGAATATAACTAAACCTCTTCACTATCATACATAAAGAAATGAACAGGTTAATATTAAATTTGGAAGAGCTGGTACAATAAATAGTGAGAACAATATAAATGTGTAGATTATTAGTAAGTTGCTGGGTTTTGTACAACAATTATGACTACCTAAAACTTTGTATATGCTTGAATGAGTCATTGATAATTTTATTTGTCTAACCCCTGACATCATGATTGCATTTACACCTGACTGAATACAAAAATAAGTACATGTAATAGGAGTATCTACTCCTCTTATGTCAGTCTTCTATTGGTCCTCATTATCTAACATGTCTTGTCCTCATTATCTTCTCTGTAAGATGGAGGGGTTGAACTAGATGTCTCTGAATCTATTTAAGATTTAACACACTATAATTTTGAAATTCGACTCATGGTAATGTTACTTTCTTTACCTTAACTGGTTATATGGAAACATAAAGGCAAAAAAAAAAAACCAGACATATTAGGACCAAATATTTGCCTGTATAAATGGATCCCCCAAAATGATCTTCTTGGTAACACTCTGGAAAACACCGAAATCAGTGTCAGTTTGACCAGAATAATGAACAGTTCACTAGGAAAGAAATGTATTGATCATTTCTTATTGAAAACCTCAGAAGTAAAAAGTAACTTTATTATATGTATTTCACAGTTCTAGGGGAAATGAATAAGACATAAGAGTTGGCATCTTATTTTACACAGTCACATTCTTATGGCCACAAAGAAAATGAATGACATAAAGAATATGTCATTTCCTCTCATACAGAACATGTCAATAATTTCTGGGTTATCATCCTGTCTCCTTTCTCCCTACACAAAACCTTTAACCCACTTAAGGGTATCCAAGTGCCCCTGAAAATATGAGCCCATCTTTTGTTATCAATGATTCCCCATTTTCTCTTGGAAAAAAGTCAAAATCCCTATAGTAACATATTCCTTAATAATGTGTAGCTTTTTCTTCTGTGCCCCTGCCATCACTGCTCATGCAGCCTTGACCCTCAACATCTCAGATTCAGTGACTTCACTATTTTATTTAGAGAATATATTCTTATCATGCCTCAGCACATTTCTGCATGCACTTTTTAATTTTTTATCCAGATTACTCTCTCTCAACTTCTCCACTGGAAACTTGTGTTCATTTTCAAGTCATAAGAAACTCACCAATCTTCTATGGAAGCCTCCACTCTCTCTGGAAAATGTAGGAGCCTCTTCCTTTGAATTCCAAAAGACATTTTAATACAGTCTGAAGTGCATACTAATCTGTTATTAAATATACCATTATTTCCCAACACTCATTTTATTCCAAGATTCATAATTCATAATTTGCTTAAATTCACCCAATTCTGGGTCATCCAAAATCCAAAGCCCTTATAACTCATGGTGGAGCCAATGGAGTCTATGAGGCCATCTACCACGGGATCCCAATGGTGGGCCTCCCTTTGTTTGCGGATCAACCTGATAACATTGCTCGAATTCAGATCAAGGGAGCAACTGTCAGACTGGACATTGACACAATGTCTAGTGCAGATTTTCTCAATGTATTGAAGGCAGTTATTAATGACCCTTTGTAAGTATCACTTTTCTTAATAGATAGTATTTATAGAAAGGTTTATTTGTCAAAAGTGCATATGAGTATCATCCCATTTATTTATCTATTTATTTTAATTTAATTGTTTACTTTTATTTTATTGATTATGCCATTACAGTTGTTCTATTCTCCCCTTTATTCCCCTCCACCCTGCACCCCCACCCCCACCATTTCCCCCTTTAGTTTATGACTATGTGTCTCAAGTTCTTTAGAATCTATATTTCCCATACTATTCTTGCCCCCCCCATCTATTTTCTACCTACCATCTATGCAACTTATTCTCTGTACCTTCTCCCACCTTCTCCTCCTCCCACTCCCCTGTTGCTAACCCTCCATGAGATCTCCATTTCTATGGTTCCACTCCTGATTTAGCTGTCCTCTTAGTTTGCTTTTGTTTTAGGTCTGGTTCTTAGTAACTGTGAGTTTGCTGTCCTTTCACTGTTCATCTTTCTTATCTTCTTTTTCTTAGGTAAGTCCCTTTAACATTTCCTATAATAAGGGCTTGGTGATGATGAACTCCTTGAATTTGATCTTATCTGAGAAGCACTTTATCTGTCCTTCAATTCTAAATGAAAACGTTGCTGGATAGAGCAATCTTGGGTGTAGGTCTTTGGATTTCATGTCTTGGAATACTTCTTTCCAGCCCCTTCTTGCCTATAAGGTCTCTTGAGAAATCCACTGACAGTCTGATGGGAACTCCTTTGTAGGTGACTGTCCCCTTAGCTCTTGCTGCTTCTAGGATTCTCTCCTTCATTTTAATCTTGGCTAATGTAATTACGATGTGCCTTGGTGTGTTCCTTCTTGGGTCCAACTTCTTTGGGACTCTCTGAGCTTCCTGGATTTCCTAGAATTCTATTGCCTTTGCTAGATTGGGGAAATTCCCCTTTATTATTTGTTCTAATAACTTTTCCACTGGTGGCTGTTCCTTTCCCCCTTCTGGTACCCCTATAATTTGAATGTTGGAGCGTTTAAAGATGTCCTGGAAGTTCCTAAGTCTCTCCTCATTTTTTTTAAATTCTTGTTTCTTCATATTTTCCTGTTTGGTCATTTTTTCCTTCCTTCTGGTTCACTCCCTTGATTTGAGTCCCAGTTTCCTTTTCATCACTATTGGTGTCCTGTGCAATTCCTTTCATTTCAATTAGTTTAGCCTTCCTTTGTTCCTCTAATTTGTGACTAAAATCAGCCAGTTCTGTGAGCATCCTGATCACCACTGTTTTAAACTATGTGTCTGATCAGTTGGCTATTTATTGGTCACTTAGAGTTATGGGCTCTGGGGCTTTGAGATCTTCTTGAGCCATTTTTGATTTGTTTGTGCCCGTTAAGTATGAGGCGTGGAACCTTAAGTGTTTACCAGGGCAGGGCCGCTCAGGTCGCTGGGTTGTGATGTGGTCAGGCCAAAGAATTCGTTGTTATCAGACTTCTGAAAAGTTCAATTTTCTGTGTTCTGGCTGTGTTTTCTATTGCTAATATTTAATTATCTCTAAACTTGGTTGTGTGAGAAAGCATGGTGTCTCCACCTATGCCTCCATCTTGGCAGAAGTCCTAATTGTTTTTCAAGTACACTCTTCTGTCTTTTACTCACATCCCAGCCCACCCCACCCCCCAGTGCTCCCCATCTCCCTCCCATTTCCACCCCCCTTAAATAATTCCCTATCTCATTTTTTTTCTTTTTTTTATTATTATTATTTTAATTTTATTTAGTTATTTTTCAAGTACAGTTTTTTGTCTATTTTTCCCATCCCAGCCTCCCCCGCCCCTTGCTCCCCACCTCCCTCCCATTTCCACCCCCCCCTTAGTTCTCGTCCCTGTGTCCTTCCTATTTGTTCCTCCAAATCCCTCCCCCTTTTTCCCCTTAACTTCCCTTCCTTCTCCCCTCTGGTCACTATCCCCTTGTTTTTAAGAGGCCTCCCCATTCCATTTTCAAGAGGCTAATTTTGATATTATTACCATATTTAACCCATGTTAAACCTACTTTTATTTTTAAACACTCTTTTATTTCAAAGTTGCATTTTAACTCCATTTTTAATGGGTATCCATTATCCTCCAATAATATAAAGTAATAGATATAATCATAAGAACACACTTTAAAAAAACATATGACAGAACATACAGGAAAAATAATGATAAACTAGAAAAAAAATCATAATGTCTTTCAATTTAATATCTAACATTTCTGATGCTATAAATTTTTATACTAAAAAATGTACTTTCCTATCATCATTTTAAAAGATTTTATGAGCTATTACATACTATAAAACGCACCCATTTATATTATAAAATATAAATATATGTAATATGTTTACAGAGCTATGACTCTATCACCATTATATAAATTTAGGATATTTTTCTTATCCCCAAAAGACAGGTCATGTGCTTAGAAGTCACCCCTTTCCCTATATCCCAAGGAAACATTAATCAACTTTCAGTGTGTATAGTCATTTTGACCTTTCCTAATAAGGGAATTATGCAAAAACTTGCTCCTTTTACATAATGTTGTTTGACTTTCTCACTGTCGTAGATTTGCACTGTTGTATAATATTCTATGATATTGATATAGCACATTTTATTTATCCATTTATTACTTTGTGGACATTTTGCTTATCTCTAAATTTTGCTCTTATGAATATTGCTGTCTCCTGTTTTGTGTGAATATATGTAAAGATGTCAGTAGTTACAGCAAATGTAAACAGACTAAGTTATTTAAACACTAGTAATGTTTCAGTCAGAGTGGATTTTAAAAATTTCATATACTACTTAGAAGGCATGCTTAAGTTGCAGTGTACAAGATTTTTAAAAAGTAGAAAAATGGTCTATTTCAACAGTGACCATAAAAAAGAGTTAACCAAATACCATATGATCTCACCTTTAACAAGAAGCTAAACAACAAAACAAACAAGCAAGCAGAATAAGAACAAAGACACTGAAATAGAGAACAAGGGGACAGTGACCAGAGGGGAGAAGGAAGGGAATTTAAGGAGAAAAAAAGGGGAAGGATTTGGAGGAACAAATAGGAAGGACACAGGGACGAGAACTAAGGGAGGTGGAAATGGGAGGGAGTTTCTCTTTCATATGTTTCTCTAATTTGTGGCTATAATCAATCAGATCTATGAGCATCCTGATCACCAGTGTTTTAAACTGTGCATCTGAGAGTTTTGCTCTTTCTTCATCACTTAGATTTATAGGCTCTGGGGCTTTGAGATCTTCTTGAGCCATTTTTGGTCTGTTCCCGTCCATTAAGTATGAGGAGGGGAGCCTTGGACTCCCAGGTTGCTGGGTTGTGACGCTGTATGTGGGGGCGTGGTCAGAGCGGGGAAATGGTGACCCCCTCTGCTGTTTTGCGCCACTGGGTAAGAATTCCAAGTCATGAAATCCAAAGACCTACAACCAAGATTACTCTATCCAGCAAAACTTTCATTTAGAATGGAAGGACAGATAAAGTGCTTCCCAGATAAGATCAAATTCAAGGAGTTCATCATCACCAAGCCCTTATTATACGAAATGTTAAAGGGACTTACCTAAGAAAAAGAAGATAAGAAAGATGAACAGTGAAAGGACAGCAAACTCACAGTTATTAATAACCAGACCTAAAACAAAAGCAAACTAAAAGGACAGCTAGATCAGGAGTGGAAACATAGAAATGAAAATCTCAAGGAGGGTTAGCAACAAGGGAGTGAGAGGAGGAGAAGGGGGGAGAAGATACAAAAAATAAGTAGAATAGATGGTAGATAGAAAATAGATGGGGGGCAAGAATAGTATGGGAAATATAGAATCTATAGAACTTGAGACACATGGTCATAAACTAAAGGGGTAATGGTGGGGACGGGGGGGTAGGGTGAAGGGGAATAAAGGGGGGAATAGAACAACTGTAATGGCATAATCAATAAAATAATTAAATTAAATTTAAAAAAAGAAATGAGAGGAAGGTGGAGGGCACGGGGCGGGGGGAGGGGCTTGGATGGGAGAAATAGACAAAAACTGTACTTGAAAAATAACTAAATAAAATTATTTTTAAAAAAAGAGTTAGCCCTACTATTAGCACAAACAGTAAACCAAAGCACTTCTAAATATAAAGATAAAAATGTTCATAATAATGAATAGGTTAGTCTTTCAAAACAACACAAGTTATTAATTGGTAACACATACTAATAATTCCCAAATTTAAAAAACATTTAAAGTGGACAAAAGGAGAGAACAAAATACAAGCCTTTAATCATAATAATATTTTAAAATATTATTTTCTATAATATAAAAAAGATGACAAAATAAGTAAATAAAAGATTTTATAAACAATTTTAAAAGTCAGCCTCTTTGACATATGTACAACAGTGGAGAACAAATATATTTAACAACAAAAAGAATAGAAATATATTTGAACATCCATACTGGGAAAATCCATGACTCACTACATGAAATTTTTTAAATTGTAGAGTATATGTCCAAGCAGATAAAAATGAAAGAGAAACCCAAACTAAAAATATTTTTAAATCTGTAAAATTAAGCAACACATTCTTCTCAGTAGTGCCCCATTTTGGTATATACAGCACAGAAATGTATAAATATATAAACCAAAGGACATGTACAAAAATGTTTGTATCAGCGTTAGTAGAAATAACCAAAAAATTATTAACAATCCAAATGCCCACTGAATATTGTGAAGCTTATACTCTGTTGGACTGTCATATATTGGGTACTATACAGCAATGGATCAACTAACAAGTTCTAGAGAAAAGAGAAAAATCTAGTATTACAATAGGATTCTAATGAATAAGAAAAATTAATCTATGGTGTTTACAGTAATGATACTAGTTAATTTGTGGAAGGGATTCCTAACTGAAAGTTCAAGAACATAAGGAGTGTCTAGCAGCTTGGGTACCTATGTCAGTATCAAGCTAGTAGGTACATTGAGGTATTCACTTCATGACAATTGACTAGGTACTATGAAATTTTGAGCTGTCTATTTAGGATATGTACATTTTTTTCTTATGTTTCTTATATGAAATTAAGAGTATACTTTATAAAATACATTGTTTTGTTATCCTGTATTTAGTTTTGTTTAGGGGGTTGACAACTTATACACAAACACTGATTTCCATCTTTTTTCAGAATGTATATAACACACATTCTCTTAATACTCCAGATAAGGAAATGACATCTCATGACTGGTTAATCACACTATTGTTACAGGCAAGCAGAGATGAAGGAATTAAGCCAAATTTAAGAAAGAATCAATGACCAACCAAGAACAGATTTCCAACTGTCAGTAGAAAAATAAGTCTGCTGTTGCTACAGCATGTTGCTAGGGAACATGATGCTCCAACAGGTTGGAAGGCTGGCTGATCTCTTTCAAGGGCAGCTTTGAGGATTATCACCACTGTCTAAGGAACCTATGAAGCCAAGGCAGGAAGGAATGCCCAAGGGTCTCTGGAGAGAGTTTTGGTTAGTGAAGAGTCACCCTGCCCAAATCAAATCTCTCAAATAGTGCTAACAAACTCTCAGTATTTATAGCCTGGATATTGCTTTATCATCGTCGCTTCACCACACCTTCTCATCAGTAAACCCCCAGATCGGGGGCAAGAGCCTCTGTTTATGAACAAATGTATGTAGAGTGACATACCAATAGAAATTTCTTCATTCTTGCATCAAAGCAAATATTGTGGTCTTTGTAATACACAAGTGAATTAAAGTGACTTCACTCATAAATAAGTGGATTTGAAATCACATAAACCAATGTGCATGTATTTAAAGATCTATAAATCAAAAAGTGAAAAAATCAAACCCACAGAAGAAATGGCCTGGGTGCTATTAGTGTGGTCAGTTAAAGTTCCTCTGACACTTGACATTTACCCCAAGGCTTCTTTCAGAAGTTAAATGTAACCTTGGGTGTTACAGGGAAGCTTGCTCTAAAAGGGGGACAGAGGAGAAGGAAACTTCACAAGTGCTGAGGTGGAAACACACTTGGCAGCTTCAGTGAACAGCCAGAAGGCACAGGTGCCAGCAAGACAGTGTGCATAGGAAAAAGAGATAGGATGGGTGGTTCCCAAGGGTCTGTCCATTTGTCATGCTGAAAAATTCAACCAAGTAAATTTGAGGATCTCATGGACTGTTTTAAGCAATTCATGAATGGGGCAGAAAACAGCTAGCGACTAGAAAGGTTCTCAGAGGTTTTGTACAAAATGGGAGGTTTGTATAAGCAGAAGAATGTGTTGGGGGAAGTATCAGCAAAATGAAAAACATGATTATTTTTTATATATTTCATTTATATATTTTTAAAGACAGGGGAAAGGAGTGAAAAAGAAAGGTAGAGAAATCTCAATATGCAGCTGCCTCTCAGGTGCCCCCAACTGGATATTTAGCACGTAACACACGTGTCCTGAAAGGAATCTAACTGGTAATTTTTTGGTTCATAGGCCAGCACTTAATCCACTACACCACACCAGCCAGGGCAAAAAAAACCCACAAAAAAACCAATGTTATTTTTAAACTGGGCATCATCTTCCAGGAAAGGAATGGCAGGGGTTTATCATGCAGATTGCCTCTTCTTCCAGTGGAAGATACAGAGGTGCCAAGTGACAGATTAACTCATTGGTAGGGATCAGAAAGTTCCAGACTGGTTGATAATGATTTTAGTTCTTGGGGAAGTTAAAGTTTCAAATAAATCAGGTATTAAATCTAGTTTTCACATCAGGTCTTTCAGCAGAAGTAATGCTATTTGGGGTATACTGTTTTCTTAATAGCACAATGTAGGGTCCTTGGGCCAAAAAAAAAGGTTTGTAATTTATTCTAAATGGGTTCAGAAGCCAAATGGAAACTTTGAGCAAGAGAATGTAATAATCTTAAGTGTTTCAAAACACTATATTCTGGGTGGGAAACAGACAATAGATTTATGAAGAGAAACATGGAAGCCCACGGACCACCAGTAAGGAGGCAATCTCGCACCACGATATTATTACACTAAAAAAACTTGAAAGGCCTCATCTTAAAACTTCATTTTGCCACCTGATTCATGTCTAGGAAAGAAAGTCCAAAACTATCAAAACAATTTTATAAAAGTTTATTTGAGCTAATAAGCAAGGACCAGCCCAGAAGCAAAATCAACAAATGAGAAAATGCTCTGAGAATGGCAGTATGACAGTTCTTTTCATGCATTTGGAATCAAAGGAAAGAATGTAAGGAGAGTTACATGAAATTCACTAGTATTGGACTAAAGAGGCATGAAAACAAAGTAGAGGTGGGTGGGTAGGTCGCCCTACCCACTAGGATTGGATAAAAAGTGAAATGGAGACTTTTGGCTGAGATGGAAGAGTAGGTGGAAATAATGTACCTCCTCACACAACCAAATTTAAGGACAACAAAGATTTAGAAACAAAATGACAACCAGAACAGACAGAAAATTGAACTGTGCCTAAGTCCAACAAAAATGAACCATTTATCTAGGCCAGGAAGAGAGGTTGAGTCAGCGGCCAGCTGAGAAGGGTCCCTGCAGGCAAAGGCAATAGTTAGCAGAACTGGGTTTGGGAGAAAACTAGCAAACCCAGTGAGATAAGCAAGGTAGTTCTCTGACCACAGAAACACATTTGCAAACAGATAAACCAAGCAAAAAATGTTCAGTGAGACAGACCCGGTAACCCAGGGCCCCAGGGATGGGAATTAAAGCCTAAAAGCAGCAGTTGAAAAAACTTATGGAGGTTGAGGTGCTGGGAGAGGCTCCTAGCCTCCCCTAGGACTCATTGGAGAGACCCACAGGGTCCTATAATGTACACAAGCCAACCCACCCAGGAACCAGCACTGGAATGGCCCAATTTGTTTGTGGGAAGTGGCAGAGGGAACCAAAATGTGAGAGAGAGTAGATCAAGTACCATTGCTCCCTCTCTGACCCCACCCCCACATACAGCATCACAACCCAGCAACTGTGTTGACCCGTCCACGTGAACACCTAAGCCTCTGCCTCTTATACCTAACAGATGCAAACAGACTAAAACATTCTGAATCAAACAGAAGAATGGATCAAAGCCCCAGATCCGATACCTCTCAGCAACCAAGAGATACCAACCTATCAGATGCACAATTCAAAACATGGGTGATCAGGATGCTCACCAATGGTTGAGCATTGGTCACAAATTAGACAAAAAATGAAGGCTACACAAAGTGAAATGAAGAAAAATGCACAGGGAACCAATAGTGATGGAAACTAATCTGGGACTAAAATCAATGGAGTAGACCAGAACAAAGAAAAAATGACCAAACAGAAAAGAATGAAGAAACAAGAATTCAAAAAAAAAATGAGGAGAGGTTTAGAAACCTCCAGGACATTTTTAAATGCTCCAACATCCGAATTATAGGGGTACCAGAAGGGGAAGAGAAGCAGCCATGAGTGGAAAACTTATTGGAACAAATAATAAAGGAGAACTTCTCCAATCTGGTAAAGGAAATAGACTTCCAGGAAATCCAGGAAGCTCAGAGAGTCCCAAAGAAGTTGGACCCAAAAAGGAAAACACTAAGGCACAGCATAATTATATTAGCCAAGATTAAAATGAAGGAGAGAATTCTAAAAGCAGCAAGAGATAAGGGGACAGTCACCTACAAAGGAGTTCCCATCAGACTGTCAGCTGATTTTTCAAAAGAGATCTTACAGGCAAGAAGGGATTGGAAAGAATATTCAAAGTCAGGAAATTCAAAGAAGTACATCCAAGATTGATCTATCCAGCAAAGCTTTCATTTAGAATTGAAAGACAGATAAAGTGCTTCTCAGATAAGGTCAAGTTTAAATAATTCATCATCACTGAGACCTTATTATATGAAATGTTAAAGGGACTTATGTAAGAAAAAGAAGAAAAAATATGAACAGTGAAAGGACAGCAAACTCACAGTTATTAACAACTACACCTAAAACAAAAGCAAACTAAGAGGACAGCGAGATCAGGAACGGAACTATAGAAATGAAGATCTCATGGAGGGTTAGCAACAGGGGAATGGGAGGAGGAGAAGGGGGGAAAAGGTACAGAGAATAAGTAGCACAGACAGTGGGGAGAAAATAGGGGGAGGGAAAGAGTAGTGTGGAAAATGTAGAATCTAAAGAACTTGTGACACATGGACATGAACTAAAGAGGGAGTATGTGGAAGGAGAGGGTGTGTAGGGTAAAGAAGAAAGAAGGAGGCAAATGAGACAACTGTAATGCATGATCAATAAAATATATTTTTTAAAAAAAGAAAAAAAGTGAAATGGAAAGGCAGTTTTTTTACATTTCCAAGTACAGAATACGTCTTTCACATTGGTGGGGACAGAATAGGTAACATTTTACATTTATAGTAAATGCAGTTGGTATGTGGGCAACAAGAGATGTTTGAGGTCATTGTGCTCTGCTGCCCAAAGTCAGGCCTTTGAGAAATTACTCAGGCATTTCAAAGGTATGTTATCCTCCATGCATAAGAACAATGGACTGGCTCGTTCAAGGTACAGATGTATCTTTTACTAAGGAAGCCATTGGCCTGAGATGAGACTACTCACCAGGAGCCACCCAGTTAGAAATTTATGATCAGAGCATCCTGTGTGGTGACCTTGTGTTACTAAACTTGTGCAGCCCACCATGTGGACCCTTCTTCATTCACACTGATAGTAGACATTAGAATGTCTCCTATGATTCCTCTGCTAAAAAGAGGTGACTCTCCTGCCTTAGCTCCCATCTTCATTTTGTAAAATATTTGTTATCAGAAAATGTCAACATTAAAGTGAAACCATCTGTGAAGACCCAAATAAAAATATACCTCTTCTGCAATTCTATGATATTTATTTGAAACATATGTATGACACTTCAGGAACCTTTCATGGGACTAGCTCAATCAGGCATATTAATTCCTTTCAATGTTAGTACCTTTGTGTTTCTCCTTCAGATATAAGGAGAATGCTATGAAATTGTCTAGAATTCATCACGACCAACCAATGAAGCCCCTGAATCAAGCTGTCTTCTGAATCGAGTTTGTCATGTGCCACAAAGGAGCCAAACACCTGCAGCCAGCCTCCTATGAACTCAACTGGGTCCAGTACCACTCTTTGGATGTGATTGGGTTCCTGCTGGCCTGTGTGGCAGCTGCTATTCTTGTCATCACAAAATGTGTTCTCTTTTGTTGCTGGAAGTTTGCCAAAACAGGAAAGAAGGGGAAGAGAGAGTAGTGTTTCTGAGCCTGAAGCTGATCTACCTAACAGATGGGACCCATCCAGTTTATTCCAGCAAGAAATAGTTGCTCCTCCTGGGACAAAATGACTTTGCACAATTTGGCTTCACATTTCAAAATTGGTTTGCAAGTGATTTCTACCTGTTTAAGAGTTATAAATATGTCATCCCAAAGATAAAAACTGGTAAATACAAAACAATAATACATCTATGTGAATTTCTATTTAAATTCTATTCATATTAAATGTTAAACCAAAAAAAATAAGCCTATGTGTGTCTCAAGCATTACACAAGGACACAAGACTAAGTAGTCTGTATACATGTCAATAATATTTTGTAAATACTCAGAATATTTTAATAGTACTTTGGTGCAGAATTCTGTAGCTTTGTCTTTTGCTAAAGAAACTATTCAATAGTTAGAACTGTGTAAATTGATTAAAGCTTCCATTTGATTTTTGAAAGACCAGTAATGTTCTTTGTTTTGGCTGTATGTTCACACTCAGCATCATTTCTGACACAAAGACATGGCAGGTCATTTGCTTTCCTCTAATTTAAGGTAATTTACCATCAAAATGTACGTGGATTTAGAAATGCAAAACTCCTTCCCATTCTGGATGACTTTGGTTCAGCAGCTAATTCTCTTTACTTCTGAGCCCCTTGAAAAGTCACCTGATATTTTTCACTCTCATTTCAGCCTTTGATAGTGTAGAACCCATTTCTAAAGGGACTTACCGAATCTGTGTCCTCTCCACAACTGTGTGTATGCACATATGTCCTCTTCGTGCAAAACAAGGCACAGCATCACTTAGCTACTTACAGAAACGGGGAATATTTAATGTGTCAGTTGAAGGGAGTTTGAAATAATGATTACTACTCCACATAACCACACTAGATCTGCATCTCTCATGTCTTCTCTCTTTCCTCAGAAGCTGTTGCAACCCTCTCACTAAACTAGTATAAAAACACTCAATAATTTGGCATGTCAAAAAAAAAACAGTACAATCACCTCTTTTTTTTTAACACAGGCACACTATGACTGACCATAACCAACAGCAATGCAAAGAATATAAAAATCATGTAAATTTTATTGAAATAGGAACATCAAACCACAAGGATTATCAAAGCCCTCCTGAAACAGAGGCACCATGTGTGATATGGTCCAGGCCAGCAAATCATTCCTCTTTTTTGGACAAGAAGAACAACATTAAAGTCTCATGGTAAACATTCTCCAAGCTAAGGCATGAATTTATTATTACAACAAATTAAAACTTCAGTGATGGGAGGCTTATAGGACAACGTTATCACTGATCTTCCATGTAACTCTTGGAGACATTTGAAACACGTCTAGAAAGAAAAACGGAAGTAACATAGTGCCGCAATAGATTATACTGTTAAATCATACATATAGGATTAAGTTTCCTCAAATTTAATTTGTAACACTCAAAACAGAGAAAGGTTGTTAATCAATGTATAGTGATAAATCTTACAAATCACAATAGAAAAGACAAACATTCCAAGATGAAAATAAATATGAACAAGAAATTCACAGAAATAAAAATGACCAATAACATATAAAAGATAGCGAAGGCACTGATTTTTTTAGTAAAATATAACATGAGTCAATAGATTGTTGCCCACAAGATATTTATCAAATGTAAGAATCCATGTGTAAGAGGCCTCCTCTGGCTTCCAGAAAGCACCCACCTTGAGGGCCCAAGCTGCCCAGCCTGAGGAGCCCCTGAGCACCTGGAAGCAGAGGCTGGCAGTGGCTCTTCCAGTGCAGCAGGACCCAGAGCAGCTGGGTCCTGTGCCACCTCTGCAACCCAAAACCTCCAAGTTCCAAGATGGGATTCTGCACTCAGAAGCACTTAGTGCTGCCTGAGCTGGGCCTGCAACCACAGGTGAGCCTGGTAATTGGGTGCTTGATAGCCATTGGCTGCTGTGGGCTCAGCTGTCCATTGTTTAACACCTGGCAGCTGCCTGTGCAGGCCATCTGGCCTCGTGGACTATGACATGCTAGAAAGCAGAAAACTGGTCCTCTCAGTGTGCATGGCAAGGCACAGGTCCCCCAGGACTGGGTCTTCATGGCCCCACCTCACTGTGCCTTTTCAGTTCTGCCTGGAATGCATGCCCCACACTTCTGCACATAGATGTAGGTCACTGCCCAGACATGCTGGCTGATTGCTTGGACAGTGGGCCCTCTCACTACTTGCTTAAGGATGCCTTGGTGCTGGCCTACCAGCCTCTTCTGTTGCCCAAGGCAAGAACTTCAAGGACCAAAACAAAGTCTACCACTATCGACATGATAGACATGCTGTCCAGACCACTGGGAGCAGGCAAGAAGCAGGGACTGCCAGAGCAGATTGAGAACTTCCCAGGGCCATACAAGGCAGTGCCAGGTCCCTCTGGGTGGGCCACGTTTCCTGGGAAACCAGGAGCAAGTTCCGCTATCCCTGGGCAAGTGTCAGCAGGAGGAAGTTCTTAACTGAGTACCAGCAAGTCTAGCAAGTTAATTGGATGAATGAGAAAAAACCCTCTTACCCCCTTCTGTATCAGATTGGGGGTGGGACCAATGGAAGGCAGGCACCAGAACAACTGAAGTTACAATGGCAGGGCTTGATTCTAGACCAAAAAGGCCTGCCAGTGTAACAAATGGAAAGCAGGGATTAGTTTGGAGGTGGACCCATCCAAAGACCTGAAAGTTAGTGAGTTAATCGTCATTCTGAGAAAGCACCTGGTCCATCCCACACCCAAAACTAATATATCCCAGGAGAACAAAGAGCACTCTCTCTGACTTATGGCCTTCTGCTCAAGACACACTCTCATAGGATGTATTGGACTGGACTGGAGTGTCCTCACAGGATGGACTGTGATTGCTAAGGTCACTGGGCCATGGCCTCCAGGAGGGAGTCCCTCTCACCCACCAGCTTGGTGGAGCAGGTGCCAGTGTGTTTGCTTGCTCTCTGGCCCTCTGATTCAGAGTATAAAACCTTGGTATCACAGAAGACACATGGCTATTGTGGGCACTGGCACAACACACAGCCCCCATGAAGGAGCCTCAAGCCAGACACAGCTTGGTACAAGCTAAGCTACCTGATGACCACTTAGCAGCCACTTAGCATTCAAAAGCATGGTACTTTAAATAGAGCAGGAATTTTCTGCACCGCCATTTGTTTTGGTCTTATTAAGTAGAGTTGGGTTTTGTATGTACTTTTCAGAGGAGATGAGCTTTCAGATGGGGAGTTCCCCATTTCCCCAGATCATTCAGCATTCAAATAAATAGCGCTTTTCTTTCTCACCAGCCTCTACCTCTTGAATTTGCCATTTGGTGGCAGCAGGCAGCTGAGCCACACGTTGGGTCAGAAATGCTATGACATTAGACCTTGCCATCACTGTGTGTTCCCTCAGCTGCCTCCAGCTGCATGGATGGCAGGGTGCTCACTTGTAAATGGGATTCTAGGCTGCCTGCAGAGGCTAAAAGGGTCGAAGAGCATATCAGGTCTAGACCCCTCGAACAACTGCAGCCAATTGCCTTTGGATGCCTCCAGAGGGCATTTCTGCTGTATTCACCTGTGGAGCCACATGTCAAATGTGCAATTATGGGGAGTGGACCATGGTGACTGACCTGGTGAACTGTAATCAAAGCCTTTTGTGGCACCTCAGTCACTGATAAGTGCCACTCCCTGCAGTTTCTCAGCACAGGAGAGCCAGTTTCTGTCACTCACTAAACCTCAATAAGCTCTGTCTGGATTCAGGGTACTGCACCCCATCAGGCCTCAACTGAAGGTGGACCTGCTTTTTCTGATTCCTCCCTATGCATCCCTTTGAAATATATGGAACACTCAATGCAGAGAACCTGAATCTCTGGGGACAGGCAATGCCAGAAGGGCATAAAGGTACTGCTGTCCTGCCAGCTGTCAAGAATGAGACTCTTTAACAGTCCAGCATATTGTGGGACCTCATGGCTGCAAAACTGATGGCACATTTCTCTCTTTTTTTTAGTATATTTTATTAATTATGCCATTACAGTTGTCCTATTTCTCCCCTTCACTCCCTTCCACCCTGCACACCCCCTCCCGCATGATTCCCCCCCACTTGGTTTATGTCCACATGTCTCGAGTTCTTTAGATTCTATATTTCCCCTACTATTCTTGCCCTCCCCCCTATCTGTTTTCTACCTACCATCTATGCTACTTATTTTCTGTACCTTCTCCTCCTCCCACTCCCCTGTTGCTAACCCTCCATGAGATCTCCATTTCTATGGTTCTGCTCCTGTTCTAGCTGTCCTCTTAGTTTGTTTTTGTTTTAGGTGTGGTTCTTAGTAACTGTGAGTTTTCTGTCCTTTCACTGTTCATCTTTTTTATCTTCTTTTTCTTAGGTAAGTCCCTTTAACATTTCATATAATAAGGGCTTGGTAATGAGGAACTCCTTGAATTTGATCTTATCTAAGAAGCATTTTATCTGCCCTTCCATTCTAAATAAAAGCTTTGCTAGATAGATCAATCTTGGTTGTAGGTCTTTGGATTTCATGACTTGGAATACTTCTTTCCAGCCCCTTCCTGCCTGTAAGGTCCCTTTTGAGAAATCCACAGACAGTCTGATGGGAACTCCTTTGTAGGCGAGTGTCCCCTTATGTCTTGCTGCTTCTAGGATTCTCTCCTTCATTTTAATCTTGGCTAATATAATTACGATGTGCCTTGGTGTGTTCCTTCTTGGGTCCAACTTCTTTGGGACTCTCAGAGCTTCCTGGACTTCCTGAAAGTCTATTTTCTTTGCCAGATTGGAGAAGTTCTCCTTTGTTATTTGTTCAAATAAGTGTCCCACTTGTCGCTCTTCCTCTTCCCCCTCTGGTACTCCTGTGATCTGGATGTTGGAATGTTTAAAAGTGTCCTGAAGTTTCTAACTCTCTCCTCATTTTTTTTGAATTCTTGTTTCTTCATTATTTTCTGTTTGGTCATTTTTTTTCTTCCTTCTGGTCCACTTTCTTGATTTGAGTCCCAGTTTCCTTTCCATCACTATTGGTTCTCTGTGCATTTTCCTTCATTTCAATTAGTTTAGCCTTCATTTGTTCCTCTAATTTGTGACTAAAATCAACCAGTTCTGTGAGCATCCTGATCACCACTGTTTTGAACTGTGCATCTGATCGGTTGGCTATCTCTTGGTCGCTTAGAGTTATGGGCTCCGGGGCTTTGAGCTGTTCTTGAGCCATAATGTTTTGGTCTGTTCATGCCTGTTATGTATGAGGGGAAGAGCCCTAGGTGTGCACCAGGGTGGGGCAACTCAGTTGCTGGGTTGTGACACTGCATGTGGGAGCAAGGTCAATAAGGGGCAATAGCGGTCCCCTCTACTGCTTCCTGCCTCTGGGCCTGCATGGTCTGTCTCACTGCTAGCTCCTTCACCTGGTTTATCTGCACGCAAATTTGTGACCTCAGTCAGCCTGCCGCCTTGCGCCCTC